CAGTAACTACAGCTTGAAAGATTCGGTCGGTATTTCGTTTACTTTGTCGTGAGTTGCGCATAGGCTTAGAGGCAATTAACCATACATATGTAACCTTCTAAGATACGGCGTTGTGATCCTCTTTTTTAATACCATTGTGGCTTCTTTGATATTAACGTTGTATGATATAATCATTCCCTCTTTTTTGTTACTTTCCTTTTACATTTGTTTTGTTAGTGTTCTTTTTGACAATTTTTTGAAAACAGTCTATCTTTCAATTCTAGCTTTATTAATACTATTCAGGTGAGGCTAGTGTTTCTAGGTTACGTCGCAGCCGTCTTCCGAAGTCCCATCGTCTTCCGGTCGAACAGCATTCCTCTTNNTCAGCATGGAGTACAGGTGTTCGAAGTTTACCTCGTAGTTTGTAATTTAGTCGTATTCCAGATGGCTGAAATGCTTCACATTGATTTTCATCTAGTGGCTAATGCAATCTCCGTATTTTGCCGGCTAGGATTCGCACGGAAGAGAGTTACAGGGATGGAGACTGCCCGCCTGCATTACAGCTGGGCACAACTCATTGCTATACCAAATTCACCAACACAGTGAGTTATTCGGCTTTGATGGTAACGTAAACACTCTTATTCTTGGAATTTGAACCTATTGTTAACCCAAAAATCAATTTTTTGCTTCGTTTTTTTTTTTTTTGCTTTTTCGCTTTAAATGCTCCAATGATGTCTACTTAGCTCAGGGTTCTGTCAATTGGCTTGATCATTGACTTCTGGTCAACAAATTTATTCATTTTTCAGAGACGACATGGTGACATCGGTCTCGGGCGATTTGGGAGAGCTGTCGGCTTCATTGGCATCACCGTTAGGCGATGATGATGATGATGATCCAGCTACCAACCTCAGTAACTACAGCTTGAAAGATTCGGTCGGTATTTCGTTTACTTTGTCATGAGTTGCGCATAGGCATAGAGGCAGTTAACCATATGTAAGCTTCTAAGATATGGAGTTGTGATCCTCTTTTCTGATACCATTGTGGCTTCTTTGATATTAACGTTGTATCATATGATCATTCCCTCTTTTTTGTTACTTTTCTTTTACATTTGTTTTGTTAGTGTTCTTTTTGACAATTTTTTGAAATCAGTCTATCTTTCAGTTCTAGTTTTATTAATACTATACAGGTGAAGCTAGTGTTTCTAGGTTACGTCGCAACCGTCTTCTGAAGTCCCATCGTCTTCCGGTCGAACAGCATTCCTCTTTGACTCGACGTTGGCAGCATTTCTGATGATGGGAAACCTATCAACTTCGTTGAAAGTGAGTTCTTATCAATTATGATGAAGAAAAAACTGCAATGGAAACACTATTGTGTAGAGGTTACGCGGTATGTAAGGCTTTAAATTATTATGCAAAAGTTTGATCATTACAGTGAAGCGCAAGAAATCATATTCGAATAGATCAGAGTACTGTTCGCGAGCGATATCAATTTTTTTGTTTCCTTATAGAATCCGATCAAGTGGTTGTGGCATTATGTGCTTTTAATGAAATTAGGGTAGGAATATTATGCTTCTCGGTTATTATAATACGCTGCAACTGGCTAAGTTATGGCTAGGGTTTCAGCGTTAGAGTCTACCAGGAAAGGTTATAGCGTTAATACTAGAACATTTGATGGAGTTCTATGATTCTGAAAAGTTCTGTGATTTATAGGGTCATGCGGTGACGTTGTTCGAAGTGGGAAAGCTGGCTGATGAACAGATGCGGGACTTCTTGGAACAACTAGAATGCGTGAGTATAAAGGAGCCTGTTTTGGTGGTGTTTGGTGGCTTAAACTTTTCCTTTTGCCGTTTTTCTTTTCTTGTGGTTCATCATACAGCTCCGAAGCGTTTCTGCGATGCATTGCTTTACATGATTTGTTCAGGTAAACCGTTTCGCTGAAGGAGAAGCGCAGCGGTATTCGGAACATGCGATGGCTCTCCTAGATATTCTGCGAAACCTTCGAAAAGGACGAGAAGTTGATATGTTAAGAGGAGAAAGCTTGCTCAGTCTCGATCCGCAGAGTCGCATCCGGGTGCTAGCGAAATCATATGGGTCCGTAATCCATAAAAATTCTATTCCGACTTTTTACCCTCCAAACAGGATAACTCACACAGATTTTGAGATTCTGTGATTGATGACGTATTTTTGGTACTACACGGGACTGACATTACCAACCTGAAGCTTTTGAGGCGCAAACCGGACAGCGTCTTCATCTGTGTTCTGTTGGCTTCATGTTCAGCTTAGCGTTCTTGAATCTTCCTCTCGGCTACCATTACTAGACTCAATTTCTCAGTCACATTTTGGATTCAAAAAAGCGTCGAGTATCGCCATCTAAAATGAAAGAGCTATTCATAATGAGTGATGAGAAGAGAGTGCTTCAGTCACAAAATACAAAATACAGAGCGGCAAAAAACCGGTACCCCTGAACGATTCCTTGAAACAAAGATGAAGAAAGAAAAATTTCATCATTTTACTCATTTTTTTCATCAACCTCTTACTCTACTTTGCTAACTGGCTTCAACGACAGGGTCATATTACGAACAGCTTCGTTGAGTACGCACTGAAAATCCGTGTTCTTCGTGGTGTCGTCCATTCACATTATTTCTTACTAATGGAGCTATGATTATTTAGAATCGTCGTGTCCATGGCGCCACTTTCGTGCGATGCATGTACAGTACCTGCCTCTTCTTTGCCATTTATTGGGCCTCCAATTCCGGAGGTGAGCATAAAAATCGCCTAAATGATTTCTATTCACACTGTGTATGTTTTTGATTTATAATTGATCATGTTTTTTGTTTACTCACTTTATATTTGGTTGACAAAGCGACTTGTTGATATTAAGAAAGGAGAATCATCGTTAAAGGGTGCATATTGTTATGGAACATCCCTTTTAACTAGTTCATCGGTCGTTTCTAGGCTTGTTCGCCTTGGCTACGGCTGGCTATATATAAGGCTACTGGCAGCGGTCCGGCCTCTGCATATATTCCAAAAGGTACGAGGCTGTCAAGATTGCCTGCAAACATATCCCATGCACCTCGTCTACTTGTTATATCGTCGAATCATGAACCTCAACATATGTCCACGTATAATGCACTCGTTGCACTCAATGATGTATTGCTTACGACTCCTCTGTTCGTTCAGGTAGTTTGGTGATTTTGTTTTTTGTCTTTTCTAGTCCATTGATTTTGCCTAATCTTATGCCACTTACCGGCTGGTTAGAGCTATTAACCTCTTTCTCTCCAACTACTCCTTTTGTTGATGTTATAGTCAGTGAGCGTCTGAATGTCGTAGAATTGTAGAATCGATCACGAAATAAGTTGCTATGTGGGTTTCCTAATAATGGGTTCAGAATGTCGCTTCCTTCTGTTCTTTTCTTAAGATCTTCCAAGTCGATCCAACGACTATCTTCCTAACACGTTAGAGCAAAATGTGAGCTGATTCATTCCCAGCATTGGCTCGAGTCTTACCCTTTTCGGGTGGTTGGACCCTGCATGTCTCCTTTATACTCCGAGTAGTAAAAGTATTGAAGACTTGTAATGGTCTGTCAGCGGCTTAAAGTGATGCTTTTTTCACCCTTTCCCATTGGTCCAATACCATTCTGCCAATTATATGATGCAGTATAGTCTTACGAAGGCGTCAAAAATCCCATTGGAATCCGCAACCCACCTAGCCATGCCCAGTCCATTACTAACTGCTTCTCTAGCTCTAGACAAAGTGATGAGATTTGGTCAAATGGTAACTCATTCCGTACTCTCGGTTCTTCAGGAATACCCTCATTATTCCGAGGAAGATGAACTCGTTTACGTGCCTTTTCCCTTCGATGAAAGCGAAAATGAAGAAGAGGGTGAGTATTTGTCTTGATGGATTCAAATTAATATTTAATTTATATATCCTAGTGATATAAAGAGATTTCAACAGGTGTGTTCTCTAAGCATCCAGCTGTACAAGCTCTTTCCACCCGTATCGGGCTGGATTGTTTGTGTGGATATATTGTACTAGTGAATCGAAGTGTATCCCGGAAGGTGATAACCAACTCGACGAAAAGTAACTATGAGAGCTCAGTGCAAAAGGAGTCTTCCATTGTTTTAAGGTATTTTACATGGAATTGGCCTTTATTACGTTTTTTATTTATTTTCAAGCCATTCGCAACCGTTGCCGCACTGATAGTTTATCAGTTTGGAGGCGTCTTTCTTTTGAAGCATTCCTGCACCTTTTTCCTCAATATATGAATAGTGCAGCCTTTCAAAAATCACAATCCAAAGATCAATTTTGATGGTTTGAAGTTTACAACTTGAATACACTGTGGTTGCGAACGGCTCAATGGTGTGAGGACAAGTGAATGATAACAAACCTTTCGTTTGGTTTATGATCTATACCTTTTTTAGGGCTCTACCAAATGGTTTCACCTACGACGATTATGTGCTTCTTGATTGCGTGTTCGGTATTCCGCTCTTCAATTCACCACTAAACAAAGCTATATGCAGTCGAATGATCAGCAAAGGAATACTGGAGTTGAACAAGTAAGTTGTTTAATGCTCTCAGATGGCTTTGATACTGCTCTGGAGGGATCGACGGAAGCCTTGGCACAATTCACAGTACATAGTGAAGCCTTGTAGTTACTATAATTTCCTGATCGCTGTTCCGATTGCGGAGAACGTATGTAGTAACAGCCTTGGAGAAAGAGGCGAAAGGACCCCCGGGTGCAAGCAATGCTAGCTACCGTTCCTATTAGGCGGGGTTCAAGGGCACTGTTCCCCTCCATTAGAAAATCTCGGGGAATTTCGGGGTTACAGGCAGTTTTGCAAGAAAAGACATTCGTTCATGATCTGTTTCAGCCGAGCCAATATCCAGTTCGCAAACAGGGCGGTCGTTGATATGATCACTGAACTTCTGAACAGCTTTAATTATGGCCATATAAAGGTTGGTTATCTAGGAAAAATTGCCTCGAACATGATCTGTTCGTTGACTTGATACCTTTGTTTCAGAGCTGTTTTCCGAGCACCGAGCCACGGAAATCGGAAGTGGTCCCACCGATCACAACCATATATTACGATCCATCGAAGAATTTGATATACACTTCGAATGGTATATGTACTGCTGAAGTGAATTAAGATTGTATTTATTTCATTTTTCACATCTTTTGTTTGTTCTTCTCCCCTGCTCTCCGCTTGATCAGTTACTGTATCAAGTAGTGACCTTGGGATCTGCCAAATTATCAGTTTGTTTGTGTGTGCGATTGAGGCGGGTTGCCAAAATCGTTTGGGACTTTTTCCATTAGGCGGCATTTGAACCTGATTCTATCATATGGTGGTCCATAGTTTTGGACGGCAACGGTTTGATTAAGAAGGCAGGAACAGACTTTAAATCGAGCATGGCAACTCGACTGAATCGCGTGTGTGATTATGGATGGACATTGTTTGGGGTGTTCATCAAATTACTTGGTTTGTTTTCTGCGTGAGCTTGTGAGAGATTTAGAGAACTTAGCAATTATTCCTGATATGGACCCTATTTCCCTTGACGCCTCAACTTGGGTGTAGCACTAGGGCCATAGTCGATTCCCCAGTCGTTCGCGTGGCGGCTGTTTAAAAAAGATTGCTGTGAACTCTGGAAATCGAAATGGTTGGGTTTATTCAAACTCTTCCTTTTTAAGTCGTACGACAATATAAAGGAGGGGTAGATTAGCCTTGGAAGCTATATAGCGGTTCTGGATAGTGTGCATTTCTAACGCTCTGCTGCTATTTCGCTGAAGCGAGTGGCAGAATATGCTTGTCGTGACATTCCCCCAGTAGATGTGTCGCCCGTCGCGCGCGGAAAATTCGCGCCACGACGTGGCGTCAGTATTCTCACAAAAACTATGTGTTTCTCTAATTGGCGTCTTGACTTACGTGGCTTATAGACAGTTGACATTCGTAACGCTATACGATATACGCTTATACGCTCTTATTTGACCAATTTCCTTTCCTTCATTCCATTTTTAGTTCTCTTTACTGTCCAGGGATGGTATCATATTCGCTGCCCATGATAGGCAACTGTAAATTTCACTTTTCTAGTCTATACAGGGTTTTTCTTTTCGGGAAATGTTATTGATTTTATTGCTATTTCTTGTTGTATGTTTATAACCGTCTGGGAGTTTTCAATATTTATTTTTTCTTTTGTAAAGTAAGGTTATAAAAATTATCATTCCGTTGGTTCTTTTTTTAGTCATTACCACTTGTTCGTAGCACTATAAATATTTCAGTGACTGTATTTGAAGTTCCAAAAAAAGCTCTCATATCACAAAGGTGAGTAAAAGTGCTGAATATGAACCCCTTCGTGTGTTCTACAATCTCTTTGCAAAATGCCTACTTTTATGTTGAAATAAGAGGCTAGCTCTTTGGCGTTGATGAAGCCTCAACAGGGAATTTTCGACTTTTATTCAGACTCGTATTGGAAGTTGGATCCGTTTTTTTACCTATGCAATGAACTCCAAGGGTGCGACCATTAGCTAATCCCCCTAGGTTACTCCCAGACGACCTAAATTGCCATTCATTGTGCCTAGAGAAATGAAAAGCCAGGTTAGCCTTGACGGGGGTGCTCCGAATTTTAGCCATGGATCATTTGGATCATGCCTGGTATATCCTCATGCTCCGCTTGACCCGTCTGCATATTTAGAGAACCAGACCAGGACTATTCATCGACTAGCTGTTACTAAGAGGGTTGGAACAGGATTGTAGAAAAACCACGGTTTTGACGTCAATAGTTATAAATGGCTCGGCTCCCCTTAGATCGCTTGTTGCCCAGTTATGGCACTGCTGATTCGCTGTTGAAAAGTGTAGTTGTAACCTGGTTTATACAGCTGAATGCGTCAAAAACTCATAACAACCCTTTCTGACATTTGATTCAACTTTAAGGTACTCTTTAGTTTTCTTTTTTTTTATCAATTAGGTAGCAGCCTAGTGGTGTCTTCTGCTGTCCGAACATCCTATGATGGCGGAGCTTTTCAACTACTGTGCAAATCTGCAGTTCTTAAACTCCACCTCTTTCACATTTTCTTGATGTCTCCTTTCTTCTGGTCCTCCAAGGTACAGGTAAGTGAAAGAAAAACGAACGAGTGTAGCGTTTATTCGACGGTATTTATGCGATCTATTTACGTACAGGTCTCAGCGCACGTCCTTCGTTGTCAGAAGCGATAATATGTGACAAAACGTCCTCACTAATCCTAATATTCCTGGGAGGACCCGAAGCCGGTCGCAGAATTGACTTTGGAGTCTGAAAAATGATAGTGGTATGGTTTTTTTTTCAGTATTTTGCAATCCCAGATTGATGACCCAATTGACCAGCAGGGGCTACTATTGACATACGTAAGTCCAAAACACGATGCTGTGAACTTGACTCAGGGCAGCGTTTACGTTAAAAAGTTTTTTTCTTACTTGGATGAACCAGTGATCTCCGAGGATAGTACAGGGGATGCTGTCGGGCCTAAAACGGGCGTAAGAAGGGCCCCAAAACTGGCCTAGTCGATGTACACACCCTAGGTGGACGTTGTAGGAGCTGTAAAGTTCGCCTCATTTGCACCGGAAAACACACATTGCATGCAGGCAGCTTTCTGTAGCCAGCTGTACGCAATCGTGCCACATCTGTGTAGCTCGTCCAAACATCCCTTCCATACAACTTTTGTCGACACATCGTCAAATCTAACCCCTAATTTTACTACTTTTTTGATACCGTATATTTCTCTGAAGACGCCGAACATCGCGTTTCTCGCCAATTTCTCTTTGTTCTGGACTATCACTTCCATTATTGGTCTAAGACTTGATAAACCACAATTACACTGAGCTGTGGCTTTAACCTAACACTTTCTCTGAGTGCATACTCTTTTCCGCAAAGCAAGATGGTGATGTACCAATGATGATCTCTCGTAGTGAATTTATTTCTGGAAGTAATGATTAGGAAATTGCAAAGTACGGGAGGAATCCAATGAACCGTTCTTTGTGAAAGAGGTGAAAGAGCCGTGAAGGCTTGGTACTGGTGATATGTGGCAAAATCCTTGCCAAGTGGTTTCATGAGCTGGTCACAGCTGATAATGGCTGATAATGGTTGTAGCAACTGTAGAGGCACTAAATCCTCTTCTCCTTTCCCATTAACAGTTTGGCCTGGCTAGTTTGTGTGATAAGGGAAGGAATCACGTAGATACCGGATGGCAGAAACTGGCGAGGATTGATAGGAGCTGATAATGGGCCTATAAATGCGAAATCACTGGCTCTGATAAGCCTTTCGTAGTAATGGTACACTCTTATAAGCCTTTCGTAGTAATGGTACACTCTTGGCACCTTGTTTCGATGCGGACAATAAAGGGATTGTGGGTGGTTGGTAACAGAAAGAGCATTAGAAAGATATCAGCATTGGTAAAGGCCAATACCATGAGTGAACAACAAACTGCCCCTCATTGCTCCCTTCTACACCTTTATTTTGAACAATAAAACGAATATATTACCGGTTTTGGTTGCTTCACTCTGGCACGTTCACGGGCTAATATTGCACGTACATCGGAATTCATTTGGACAGATGGCGGTTGAGAAATCTTAGAAGAAGTCAAACTAAGCTGATATCTTGTGCACTTTCCCTCCTTACTTGAAGATTACCTGTGTGACAAGAGCCTGTTGCGTCCAGTGTTTTGCTTCCATTGTCTCTGGTCGTTCCACCACGGATGTAACCTCTTTTTTCTCCTGAAGTACGGCTTAAAATGTTTTTAGTGGGCTCTCTGGCCTTTCTTCGGAAATTAGCTTCTTTTTCGTCGTCTTGCTCAATTGTACTGACCTGCAGTGATTTGATTAACAGATCCCTGGCCACATCCTTATCGGTCACAGGCACTCCATCAATATCGATGATATGGTCGCCTACCTTAAGTGAAATTCTTAACAGTGGCGCTCGGGTGGCTACCTCCAAACCGCTATTTGTAAAGCGACTGGCCATACTCTATAAGGCCATAATCTGGGCTCGGCACCCTTGGTTTTTTGAGCCAAATAGCAGCTTTGTTATGGCAACGACTCCGTTGTAGGAGGTCGCAAAAACCTCTGGAATCACCTACCTCTAGTTGAGTAGCTGACAATGAGCCAGGATCACAACGTGAGACAAGTACGCGATTCTGGAAGTGCTTGATACCGAGACCAAGTTTTGGTCCATGTGGCACCCATACCAATTTCGCCAACTGAAAATTTGTCCTGGTTCTTATGGTGCTCAAACTGTGAAATGAAAATCACGGGAGCACTTACAAAGTACGTGAATCCATCTCGTCTGTGGATGAACTTTGCACGCTCCTCAGGAATTCTGAAGCGAGCCTCAAGCTCTTCAGCTTTCTTCTGGTCCCTAAAATAGCTCATTATTAAGATTCGGCTCATTATCGGGATGACCGTGCAGATTACGATCTTTCCAGGTTATTTGTGAGGGAAGAGCTTTTTTTGGTAGCGAGCCGAATTCGTTCAACTGTGCCTTAGAATCCCTCCCTTCCCTCCCTTAACAACTTCAGTTCATATGGACGTTGGGATGGTAGAGTACACATCACTCTTACCAAATAGCGTCAAATGAAGGTTGAGCTCCTCTAAACAGATCTGGAACAATCTGGTGGATTGCAATTGAGGGAACGAGGATTTTGGCTGAAACCATCGGGAGGAAAGGCAATAAGCTGTAGGCATGATATTTTTTACGGGATGTGAAACCACCTTCCGCAATCGGCCCACCAACTCCGGAGCACCTATCTCCTATGCACACCATTCCACGTTGCCTAACAGGAAGAGAGGGCGAGCTGTTCAAGGCCTCTCTCCACAGTCCAATGTTGCTTATTTGCGTAGTGTGTACGGTGATAACCAATATCCTCCACTCACCTAATTATAGTGAGTACCGCTACAGGTGGAGCAAAACGAAGTGCTTTAAAGAAATTGTTCTGATCAGAGATCGGTTGTCCGTTTACTTTGAGAATTTGATCGCCAACCTGCAAATGTGGAATGTTATGTGGAATGTGTGGCATGATATATTTTGACTGAAGATGGAGTAAGAGCGGTCTCGGTGGTCTACCGCTCAACCAGGGGCTTGGCGCGCAAAAAGTAGGTAGAAAGGCCTTTCGGGAAGTGGCAGCGCTCTCACCATGAGTGCTGCTGCCGGTTACGCTGAACACCACCATAATGGCTAGGTGATATATAATATCCGTTTTGAGTATGGACGCAATCTCGCTGTCACTATAGACTCACCTTCAGTTTGCCTTCGGAAATGGTACCGCCTTGTATTTTAGTAATAATAAGCTTATCGTTAGGTGTGGCTCCAAGTGGTTCTCCTTCTTCCATTGGTATCTCTATATCCATTTGCTGAGCTTCGCTCTTTCCCTGAAGTAACCTATCTATCATTCCTATTATTTCTATCTGTCAAGACTCAGAATGCCCTCACCTCTGCGCTAGACATGACGAGTGCTGGAGATGGAGTAAGCCGACCACGATAAAAGCACCAATGTCAAAATTGAGGCCGACCGCATACCAAAAATTCTTTGATTGATAGGAATAGCATATCGCCAATGAACTGAATAATCCGAGTGGAATCGTATGATTGGAAAGCGCAAATCAGCATCTCATTCCTTCCCCCTCCCCACTGACCTTGCCTTCCACTGCGAGTTCAGTTCCAGCGATTGTCTCGGCAAATCCAGAACTTTTCCTGTTCTCTGAAAAAGTAAGAAAAGTTAAAGAATAAGTAAAGTTCCTGTTCCTTCACTGTTGCCTTCACGGTCCTTGATGTAAACTTTGGATCGTTATTTTGCTGCAGAATGGACTGATCATACCAAGTGTGTTCTACCGTGCCATCGTCATTCAGCATCATGTTTAAGTAAGTTCTGCCCATCATCGCCCCGCTAACTCTTAGGACTCGTTCCATTCTGCGAGAAGTCACCGTAGACCTTCACTAATCTTACTCTAATCCTACTAGTCGACTGTAGTTCCTAATGTACATCGATCTGATCATTCACCGGAATAACGTCGCTTACATCAACAATCTCAATATGTTAAACTTGTTCTCATCCTTGAAAAGTACTCTGCTCCACTCAGCCGAGTCCCAGACAAGGCAACCAAGCGCAGAATCCACTTGAATCTTTCGATTTTCCGCTGTGATGAAAGGTTTCTGGCGAATCTTCTTCGGCAAAATCTGAAGAGTGTGGTCTCTTTGAGATATCCTCAGAAAAGAAGTAATAATATTCCAATGTAGGTCCCTTTGGGAAACCCTTAAGAAAGCATATAGTGTAGAATTTCATGTTATTCGGCTGGAAAGATAAAAGCCGCACTTAAAATAGGGATTCGCCGATGCTGAATGGATCACTTGAGACGTCAGACGTGCAACAGGATGGCTGCTGGCCTGATGTTTCGACTTTACGGAAGTTTTAGACCAACGGAATGTTCGGTCACCCGTGCGAGTAGAATGGACTAGCAATTCGCTCGAGACAGACATGTAGACGATAGTGACACCCTCTTTAACAATCGATGATCGACGGGACAACTTATGGTATGTGTGAGGGCGGAAATTGATTTTCTGGGTGCCGCAGCTCAGCCAAGGCCTGTTGTGGTTGAAATCGTCCGGCAGAAAAAAACAGTTTCTCCAAAATGTTGAGATGTAGCTGTGTTTGAGGTTTTTTTTGCGAGAAAGAGACATTCAACAAGTGTAGCGTTTATTGGGCGGTATTGCAATCTATTTACGGACAGGTCTGAGCGGACGTCCTTCATTATCGGATGCGATGATGTGTGACAGGACTTCGTCACTGATTCTTATATTCCTGGGAGCACCCGAACTCGGTCGCAGAATCGATTTTGGAGTCTGAAATAAACCGTTATCAGTGGTCATTCAGTCATCGATGATGGAGTGAGCTTGAATTACGGTTTGAAAAACTTATAATGACATTACACTTGAACCGCAGAAGTTCTGGTGGAATTGGGGCCCGACGCTCACGATGATTCGAAGTAATCTTTTTACTACCCGCGGCTCAGCTGGAGAACTTGGTTATGGTAGACGGTTACATGAGGAAGAGACGAGAAAACATGGTCAGAGGTGATTCGTTGTAGAACTCGTCCTGGGTCATTTTGGGCATAGGAGTTCAACACAACGGGAATTTATATATTTTGGCCCCTGCACGAATGCGTTATGAACACGAGTTGGATTTAAGTAAAAAGCGAGTTACTTCGCTTGGCCCTGGCTTGTGCAAGGGGAACCCTGATTCTTTTCGTTGCAGCTTAAGGGTCTATCACGGNCGGCTTACCAAAACCACTGCGCCTCCGGCAACCTTGCTTCGCCAGGTTGGCGACAGCGAGTGATCTTTCTTGAAGTCTCTAGTACAGGGAATCATCCACATGGTGATGGTGGACACGATAAACTCGGGCAGATATTAACGCTGTTCATTCATTTCCATTTCAAGGGCCCTGACGTAGAATTCTTCAGCCCTTCTCCTTTACCAATCTTGGCGATGAGATCACAGACGATAACCTATATGAAATGATTCCAGCTTACCTCCTCGACGCGTAAGCAGTGGGAAGTGTTATAGCCAGAGTTGAGTCACATATTCCCAATCATAAACGTCCAATTTGGATTCCCAGGCTGTCGTGCGATGTTCATGGCCATGTGACTGTTGACTAGGCCCCCTACATCGCCGGTCACATGTTTCATGGGACGTTTTTCTCCGATGTAGGAGGCGGCGGAGAGCGGCCAAGTTGTAAGCTATAGAGTTCAAGAAAAGATGAGGGTGTTGATGGGCACATTACCACTGATCGAAGCCCATAAACACAAGGTGTTGATGTAGTCCGTATGGTGGCTGGTATACCTATGCTTAGAATGCAAGAGGCCGATGGACTCGGTATTTCTTGGAGCTGCATATCCACAACAATCTCGCTTTTTTCCAACTCGAGCAAAGTGTAATCCTATTCAATTTTACGATGCAGATGTATGTGAAAAAGTCCTCGAATGCTCTCTGAACCCAGTTCAGAACATCGTTTTACAGCAATGAGATACATGTGCGACCATTGTACCAGAACACGAATAGCAACGAATTCCTGCTGTCTGGTCGAGAAGTTCGGGAAAGAGACCAAGAACGATACCGTTGTCAGGTAACAAAAACCATTGTCTAAAACTTTGTTCATTTGAATTAGTTCGCAGGTTCAAGCTCTCCTTCACCCACTCACTGAAAGAAATGCACTGCCGCATCCTATTTCACTCATTGATGTCTCTCAGAGCTGGATATCAACTGGGGAAAAATCTCCGACGTGCAGCAGTGTATTTCTAGGTCTTCCTTTCCACTATTGTCATTTTGCGAACCGGTAACACCTCAAGACTCGGTCTGATTAGTGGTCAGCTGAGCGGGACTGAAATTAGTTGAGTAGAGTCAAGACTGATGAGTATAGCTTGATAGAGAATGTCTAGCTTGATCTTCGAATCCTGTTGTCTAAGGTTTCCTTTTTCTGAAGAAAAACAGCCTTCAGCGGCTGAACCTTACAATTTTGGAAACGTAAGAAAGCAAGTTGTCCGCCTCCACGTCCAGCAAAAAATTTTGTTGGTCGGCCCATTCATTCTGCTCTATGGTGCTTTGATGTTGGGAGGAGGGCATCATTGCCTTAGATTAGTAGGCTTCGGCATAGTCCTATGCTGAATAAAGTCCCTGGCCACAGAGCTCTCGGACCTTTCGAATTCGCTTTTAGTATTCTTATTAACGAAGAAAAGATGTGTCTCGCCCTAGGATGTCAGTCTGATTCAGTTCGTCACTGACTTTCAGAACAGACTTCTGTTCTTTTAGTTGTTTTTGTCTATAGTTCTTTTCAGTCGAAGGAAACAGTTGTCTATGATATTGGCTCGATTGTAGAAACTTTTTCATCGCTCTTGATGAGTTCCGAATGGTCGCCTTTTTGCACTATTCTGGACTATCTTTTCCATTATTCATCTCAGACTAGGTACACCAAATTTATCGTGAACTGTGCCTTTACAGCGCAATCACACGGCCACAGTTCGGGTGCGCTTCGTTGCGCGCGTCCATCGAAACTAGGTCACGCCGCAGCCGTCGCATGCGGCGAATCAGCCGGCGATACTTGACGGACGTCGCCGTTGTCATTGGGGCATACGATTTGCGCCTGGCCCATGGCAGTCAGCTTGAAGAAAAGATAGCACGGACAAATGCAAATCGTTCGCTTCACTGACATTTGGTGGTACTGTAATGTCTCCCTGAGACCTCAGTGGGGTGCGCCGCGCGCGAAGTGGGCGGGTGACCTACTTTCGACGGACGCGCGCAACGGACGTTCTCCCCACATTTCAGCTGGAATGTTGATCTGAGGACTGACCATGAGATGTCTAGGTAAAAGCACACTAATCGCACTGCTCGATTCGAACCATTTGCCATGCAGGTAAAACAGGGAATTTTTATGCTGCCAAGTTCGAATAAAATGGTCAGAACGCGCTTTTTAGAGGCAGTGATCGTCGCCAGGTCGCATCGTCGGACGTTTTGTTATGTGCTCGACGACCCTTCCCAACCTTCTCTGTCAGCTTAGGACCTAAGACTGGCTGAGTTCGCCGCTCCGGCTCAACTCCGACGAAGCAACCACGATGGCACTTTCCGATCCCCATACGATCTGTAGTCACGTCACTCGCCGGTTCCTTGAAAGGAAAAGAAGCATCCGCGGGGTTCCTATCGACCTCATTGTGTGTAGGTGTGTAGGCAACCTAATGAATGATTTGTTGATCTGTTAAATATAAATCCTGCTGTCATGCTGAGCCCATCAATGAAGAAGTTTAAGGCCTATGACTACTTAAGAGTAATCGGAAGTATGAACTATGGGCAAGGTGCATTTTGACTGCTAGATCAGCTCTTTGCACAGAAAGTTCTCATTGCCTTGCCTCTGGATCCCTCACTGTCCCTGAAGATATGTACGCTATTTACAGACATTGAAAAGCTTCTAGGACTTTATTTATCGAACTCATTTTCCGTTTCCCGATATTTGTTTCCCATCCAACATTTATCACACTACTTCAATTTGAATGCTTCGATAGAGCTTTGATGGGATTGCACTTTAGTAAAGGTTTTTGTTTTCTGATTGCCCCACGTAAAATCCTATCAAACTGCTTTCTCCTTAACTTTATCTTCCTAATACTTTCCCTTTCATCAGAAGCTTGTAGAGTTTCCTCTCTTTCAGAGGAGCTGTTGTTGGGAATTAAGTACGCGCCGCAAACTCGACCTGACCCAGCGAGAGAACTGTGGGACAGGTGTGTGTCAGGACGTGCCATCACCACTGTTTTAGGTTGGTGCACTCAACGACATCGGCTAAACATCTGACGACCGTTCATCTGTAACTATAAGTTCCTGGAGCAACTAATTGGAGCCACCTGCACATTGACCTAGTTTCGTAACACTGACCTCAATGGCATGTGTCGACCCATACCTGTGTCATACATAGTCTACTCTGGCAATCGCCTCCATGAAAGCGATAGAAAAGTGGGAAATAAGCAGTCAAGTCGATGGAAAATTCTGCGAAAGGGAAAAAGCATAGTTCCTCCGAATTATTGCCAATAATTTCAGGGATATTCCGTGTTGAAACAACTGGTTCCAATCGAGCAGGATGGCGTAGGAGGCGGAAACTATCCATGCCATATGATGCCGGGAGCTGCCAGCTTTCTCATCTTTGAAGTATTCCAGCCACAACGAACATCAGCCTCTCCTGAATGTACCCGTTGCTGATCAGGTACGTGTCTTTCAGTTCCTTTCTATAAGGAGGAACTCTTTTCATGCTGAGCTTGACATTTGGCCTGAAGACCCGCTTCGAAAGGTATCGTGCGGGAGTTTTTGTGAGAGGGGGTGACTTTTCCGAGCAGGGCTTGATTCATTTCCGTCGGACGTTGTGTAGCTGCTATCCGGTCTGGATCAGTGCCCAGCATAGCTTTGACTCACGGGTACCACCAACCCGTACTGGCCGTTCCTGGACAAAGCGCTCTCTGGGTAGTGCTGACGCTATTTTTAGCAATTCTGATCCATAATCGCTCGATAACTGAAACAAGTATCATACCGGCTTTGGTTCCTTGACTCTGGCACGTTCACGAGCCAGGATTGCACGGACATCGGAATTCATTTGAACAGATGGCGGTTGACAGACCTTAGAAAAAGTCGTTCGATGTCATTTTTTCGGGGGATTTTTTAAGCGAAGGGCTACCTGAGTGACAAGAGCCTGTTGCGTCCAATGTTTCGCTTCCATTGACTCTGGTCTTTCGACCACAGATGTTACCTCTTTCTTTTCCTGAAAGACATTTTGAAATGATCTTTATGAGCTGTTTCACCCTCCGTTTGATTTACACATTTCTCTTGGACTTCTTCCCCTTCCCCTTCCTGTTTTATCCCTTTCGACAAACGATTATGTTTGAGATAGAAGAGAAAAATCTGCTTTTAGTCATTATTTTATAATTATTTTATTTATATTTATATTTATTTTATCGGGCAGCTCGGTTAACGCCGGGCTTCCCTCCTTCTTATGGGTTTGCCCAGCTACGCCGGGCGCTACTCCTTCCTGTGAGAAATTTGCTATGCGTAAACGTAACACTTGAGATCCTCCTTTTTCTTCAAAAGCTCTACACCCTCAGTATTAGCTCCGAGTTAGGAGCGATTTTTTCGTAAGGCATCTTAGCTGTGTCCGAATAGTCCTGTACTCCTACCAAATTTGAACTCTCTAGGTCGACGGGAACCGGAGTTATGAGTCTCCGGTCACACACACACACACACACACACATACACATA